CGATCAGAAATATGGCTTTGAATTGCGAAGGAAAGGCTATCGACGATTAGAAATGCTTTCGTCCCTATTACAATCAGCTGTATGAGACATCAAAAAAATTTTGCTACATCTGTTTTTCTTTGCTTTCTTTGCAGTGAGAGCGGAGAAAGAGCTCGACAGCAACGATCCAAGGTTTATCAACGCGCTTGAAGAAGACAACAGAAAACTAGAAAAAAGGATTGCTGCGTTTAAATCCAACATCATGATGGTGACGTCATTTGATAAAATTACGACAACAGTTTAAGTTGTGACGTCATAGAATACTAACACTACCAACACTGCATACAGTGATATATATAATATATAGTGTGATATCATCATTGTGTGGACTAATCCAGCGCGTTGTATGTCAATCAAGTAACGTTGCTAAGTGATGTCATCAGGTATCTAAGTGCATAGGGCGTTTTAACATGACGTCACGTCCGCCATATTGTGTCCCAAGACAGTGAAACAGCGGTCATGCTAGAGGACTATCCAACCATCCCGATCTCGTGGGGATTCTCCCGATTTTGCTTGAAAATCCCGAATTCCGACCAGTATGCGATCCAATTGGGATAGGAAAATTCCCGATTCTGACATCCGTCCTGATACTTTCTTATGAATTCTCGTGATACTTATACAAGCACACCCAACAGAGTATTCTTAACTGAAATTAATATCCAGAAAACTTAAAAAAACGGAAGAAATATAAATAAGATCGAGTGCTTGTACTCGAAGTCACGCAAACATAACTAAGCATGAAATTGACAATTCATTTAGCGAACATCTCAGACAGAAATTGTCCTTCTCGGAACACCAGAAATGGCGTTTCAGAGTATCAAGATTTCAAAATTTTGTAGGAGAGCATGGCCCCACACCCCGCCAAGCGGCTCGCGCCTTCGTCGCTCGGTAGTTCGTCCGTCATCGAAAAATATCCCGATTTTACATTCCCCATAAGGTTGGACATTCCTTGTTCGTTCCCCAAACCAGTCCTGTGGGACTTAAACCCTTTTTAATTATGTAAAAACTTTGATCCTTTTTGTTCCAATACACATGTAGGTGAAAACGCTCTATAGCATGCATCTCAATAATCTTTGTTAAAAAGTAAGGTTTTGTAGCTTTCGAATAAAGCAAGATATCTGTGTTGTTTCGCTTTTACGTTCAAAAATTTCTTTTAGAAGTTTCGGAATTTTTTAAAGGCAAATTTTTGCCTGGAATTGTTATTTTTCAAAGAAAAGTTTTCACTATAAAAGAAACTAACTTATTTTTATTCCAAGATGACTAAGCTTTAAATTACAGTATTTATATCTCACGATAGAAATATTTTCTAAAGTTTCTTTAAAGTTATTGTTATTCATATCATTGAACTAAATAGTAATAAAAAAAATAAACAAATAAATTCTACAGTGGGTCTGAAGTTAAATGAATCGCATTTCACTTCGAGCAAATTAGATAATCCTTATGTTCATTCTGACCATTTCATGAAGATTTTTTTCCAGAGTCTAGTATACCTTTTTATTATTTAAAGTTGAAAGTGTGCTTTACAATGTATATAGGATTGTTTGATTGTATGTATTAGTTAAGGCCTGATCAATACCAGCATGCATATTGCACTTTGCCGACTCCGATGTTGTAACCTCTCGATTGTATCAATATACCACAATTTCACTGATTCGTATGGCCGCAAACTTGGTCATTCTATAGTTGATTCTTATTTGGTTTTTGGTTAGATAAAATGGGAAAAAAAATCCTACTTTTCAGCGAGATTGTGCGATTACGGTCGCTATGGCGTGTATCGGCTGCATTGCATGCTGGAATAAGATGCAGATTGGGATGGGAGGCGGGGGGGATTAAATTTTTACAACAATGAATACTGTACCAAAAATTTTGTCGTGTGATAATAGCTTAGAAAAAAAAATGTTTTTAGAAAGTGATGCATGGACGGATATTTCTTGCTATTAGTTATCATAAATTGTCAGCTAGTAATCATCCTAGTAATTAAGTTGTAATATTGATAATTGCTGCGGTTTTAAATTTTAATGATAGTCTCTGTGCGAGGGCGTGAATATCAGGCTTATTTTGGTCCACTGAGACTTCAGCTTAAGCGAACTTTAATAGTTGGTCGAAGCAAAGACATATTTTCACTTAAAAAGAGTACACTAGTAAGATTGAAATAATTGCGTTGGCCACTTTGAAAAGGACGTCATGTACATGTGAGATAAAAAATAGAAGTTACACAATGTACCAGTAACCTCAAAGAAAGTCTTTTAGAACTACCAAAATCAGTTGTGCTTGGATAAAAGGCATAACCACTTAAATATTACACTCGGTTGTGAGGACTTACCTCCACTTCGATGCGCCTGATAAGTGCTCTGGGCTCGTTTCTCCTGTTTTAGGGAATAAACTCGTTGTTAGGTCTATGTACTACTGAATAACATATACCACTACTATAGAACGGCACATTGCCCGTTGAAATCATTTAATACAAGAGCGACCGTCACTGCTTAAGATATTATAATAGTACCTTCATAACTAAGGTAGTTAATTCCTTACAAAAACAAAAAACAATATTGTAAACGAAGATATCAAACTTTTTAATGTTTAGGCTCAGTTTCTTTAGACGACGTTCTTCACATTTCACTGAGCCACGTTTGTATCTACTTAGCTAGAATTTATAAAGTATGTATAGAGTGGTTTTCGTTTGAGTGTCGTAAAACCAAAACCAAAGTAATAACTCTGACCAATCACATAGGACACAGACAATACATTGAACCAATCAAAACTCGAAGTAATTACATGTGGCTGACGCAAAGCGCGGGAAAATGCATGCCTCGCGCAGTGTTAACCGAAACCAAAATGAAGACATTGGATGAAAAGGTGGCGCGAATCTTTTAAGCCAATCGCATCGTGTAGAAAGTGCAAAACCAATTACTTCTCGACACTCAAATGAAAACCGCTCTAGTTTTGAATGCAAATAAAATTCACCACTATAGATCGAGTGGTAACTTTTAAAGTTTGTCTCAATATTAGATCAGAGAAATTTAAAAATGGCGCGCGAACAGTAAATAAACGGTAAACTAATGGTCTGTTCACAATATAGCGGATAGCTTTGGCGCCAGCACGAAAACCATACCGGAGAGGGCATCTGTTAACACATATATAAGAACGGTGATTTTGGCGCGATTTCTGTAACAGCGCGAAGCTCCGCCGCGCCGATCTCTAAAGGTGTTTACAAACTAGGCAACAAATTGCAGTAGACGACGAGTAGTCGCCCATTTTCCCTCAGGGATAGTGGAGCGAGCAAAACTCGAGTTCCCGTGAAAATCACCCCAAGAGAGAAAGGCGAGACGCGGCGGGTGAGGCGTGGGGGGCGACAGTCCTCTCTCCTTTCCGCGTCTCGCCTTTCTCGCGTGGGGTGATTTTTACGAGCGCTCGCGTTTCGCTCGCTCTGGAAAAGTGAGGGACTATTCGTAGTCTAAATTGCAGCAACATGTCGCAGCCACAAATCGCTTCGTGTGTAATCGATTTATTGCGGCGACAAAATTCTGTTGCAGAGACAAAGATTTTCACAAATATCCTTCAGTACACACCAAGCGATTTGTCGCTGCGATGTGCCGCCGCAACGTGTTGCTGCATCTAGTCGCCCGACCTGTTCACACGGAGTGATATGTCGCCGCAACGTGTTGCTGCAACTAGTCGCCCGACCTGTACACACGGAGTGATCAGTCGCCTCGACTTGTTGCTGCAACTTGTCGCCCGACCTGTACACACGGAGAGATATGTGGCCTCGACTTGTTGCTGCAATATGTCGCCTACTGTTGTGTACTGACCTTAAAGTGGAGAACATATCGGATAGGTGTTCCTACCAGATAGCTTTTAGTGTCGGCACGAAAGCTTATCCAGTATAGTATGAACATAGCTTTAGCTTCAGCATTGCGTTAAGTTAATCATTGCAAATGCGCGTTTGTATGTTGCCATAAAATACACAAACTCTAGATAAAATAGGACGTTAAAAACATGAAGTGTCGTAACAGACGGTTAACCGTAAATTAAAGAAAAAGTTTGGACACTCTTGATTACACGAACAAGTTTTGCCCCTGCTCTGCTCATGTAAGTCCTGTAGCTTTTAAGAAACTCAACATAGAGAGTAGAAAGAGCAGTTAAAATTGAACTTACGTCGTTTCCAAACGTAAAGCAATCGTCCCGTTGTTGAAACGTGAAGAATCAACTTTATCACACGGCTACATTTAGCATGAAAACAAAACACTTTGCTCGACTAACTCTAGACTAATGAACGACAATTTCAGGCGATCAAGAACAAAAGCTTTTTATTCTCCTGGGACTTACTTGGCAGCCGAGTGCTAGGCAACAAGATCAGCACGAAGCACGATGCACGTGCTTTACTTCGCAATTTGGTACATTTCTTTGCTAATTGTCTGCAAATCAAATGAAAAATTGAAGGGTTTTTTGCAGAGCCTCAATCAGGGAATACACTTTGATTTTACCAAAGCTCCTGAAAGTTTAGTCCGACAACCCAATTGAAGCAATTTTTTTCTTAATTCTTATCGGCGTGATTCTCGCAGCGTTAAACTTGAAGATCGCTGAAGGCGGCTTTTATGAAAACTTTCTTGTGAGGTACGATGTTACGGGGAAATTTAAAGTAACAAGACATGTTTCTGTAGTTTTTGAACATTTATTCCTCTCTAAGATTGCGCTACAGCTAAAAAGAAAACTGTTTTATCAGAATACGTGAAACCCAGATTCGCCACATCAGGAGGGGACATTATTATCAAACCATTACAGAGGGGAGAAGTCGTTACGTCACGTTGCCATGGTAGCAAACCTTCTAACAAACCGTGGTCCTACAAATATGGCAGAAAAAAAAACGAAAAAAAAAATTGACATGTATGACTTTCCTGTGCATCAATGCACTGAGGAACAAAACGGTAGCCCATACTTTTCTTCCATCGTTCGAGACTGCAAATGGCCGCTTCTGTCAAGAACCAGAAATTTTGCTAACATGGTAACGTGACGTCATACTACTTTCTATTAGTCCGTTATCGTAATGAGTATTACCGGTGGATATAAACACCAATGACACAATGATACAGGGCCGTGATAAAATGCATCATGATCACTTTCACTCTATCAGCGTTTTAGTTCGAAACTTGCAAAAAGTTTGAGAAACTGATTAACTCTAACCTTGCTCTAACAAAGTGACTCAAACACAAATGCCAAATTTATCAGTTTTAAGAGCTACCAAAATTTTGGTAGATAATTGAAAAAGAACGAACTTAATCTGATTGGTATTCAGTTTTAATATGTTCAGTTGGGTTCTTCTTCGCCTTCTTCCTCATCTTCGAACTCTCCTTCCTCTTCGGCCGTGGCGTCCTGGTACTGCTGGTACTCTGACACCAGGTCATTCATGTTGGACTCTGCCTGCGAATAAAGAGGAGGTTCCGAACTGGGTTAATCAAAGAAAAAAATCCCTTGAGTATCGTCACATTGGGGCAACAAAACTACCCGTCCACGTAATTGTCCCCCTCCCCCCAGAGGTCTATTACCTCGGTGAACTCCATCTCGTCCATCCCCTCCCCCGTGTACCAGTGCAAGAAAGCTTTGCGTCTAAACATGGCTGTAAACTGTTCACCAATTCGCTTAAACAGCTCCTGGATAGCAGTACTGTTGCCAACAAATGTCGACGACATCTTGAGCCCGCGAGGAGGTATGTCGCAAACAGCGGTCTTGACGTTGTTCGGGATCCACTCGACAAAATAACAACTGAAATCATAAAAAGGAGAATCAATTGATCTCGATAAACGAAATAATTTAATTTAAGGCTAAGTTTGTGACTAATATTATCCTAAATTTTTGCAGTATGGTTTTATTTCCTGCTACTGAGTTCAGTGACGCGCCTGAAACATTATGCGGAATAGTCTAGTTTCGAATTAAAAATTACCGCTGAATACAAATATTAACGACACATTCATACAGGGTTAGCCTCGACGTAAAGTAAAATATTCAGAAATTCCGGCAAGTAAGTGTTTGAAATTTGAATATACACAATAGACAGAGTAATAAACAGGTCTTTTTCTTGTCGGAATATGTGAATATATTACTTCAGATGGAGGCTAAGGCTGTAAAAAATGCGTCTTCACTTCTTTAATTCAGCGGTCAAAGCGAACTCGAAACTGGACTACTGGAGTCAGAAAGCTTGCGAAAACAAAACGACATGCAGGAAAAAACTATCCAAGAAATTCATTTAATTTCTCTTGAAACCGAAAAAGGAATGGACATTTTTGGTTTCTATAGTCACCATAATCTTTCTATAGTCGCTATAATCGAGTTGCGCGATTATTCCTAACCCTGTCTTCAACAACTGACAATAACTTAAGCCACATCGAAACATGAACATTAAATTGCCGTTTTATTATAAACGTAACTGCTCATTTACTGCTCTCTGTTGATAACAGATGGTACTCTATTAAGCTTAGTAATTGTTTATTTTACGTTTATACGAGAGACAGAGTACCCTGCGAGAGCCTCATTGTGTTTTCTTGAGTGGGGAGGAGAAAAGGACGCTCTGCCTAAATCCCGTCAAGCCTTTGAGGTCACCACAGCCCAAACCTCTGGGCTAGTCAATCTTGTTCTATCTCGTCAAACTGGTTTTTTCGAGTGCGAGCATCCGTTTATTGATAAACCGATGGTCATGACCGAGTACGTTATACCAAGCGGACGGATACTAGGCCTTGGTTCGAAACTGTATCCTAGCAACATACCGCGCATGCTCAGCAAAGATCTTACTCGATTCATGCAGAGTCTTTCTCGGGTACGCCAAAATCGAACAAGTGAAAGAAAGACTCTGCTGGCAGAGTGAAAATTAGCGTCATCACGAAGACAAACCAACAGACCTGTTTTTGTTTTGAACGTTCAACATTTGTTCGTCAACCTCCTTCATTGACATCCTGCCACGGAATACCGCTGCCACGGTGAGATAGCGGCCGTGCCTGGGATCACAGGCTGCCATCATGTTCTTGGCATCAAACATCTGCTGGGTCAGCTCTGGCACTGTTAAGGCGCGATACTGTTGTGAACCGCGGCTGGTCAGCGGCGCGAAACCCGGCATGAAAAAGTGCAGGCGCGGAAATGGCACCATGTTTACCGCCAGCTTTCGCAGGTCAGCATTCAGCTAAAATTTTCAAAATCAATTTAAACGGGGTAAGAATACATTTGCAGACGTTATAGATCAGTGAAGTGGTCAGGAACTATTTATATTCATGAGAAAAGAGTTCAATAATGCCCACATTATTGGCTTTGTACATCAACGTGACTGCCGTTTCATTGTTGCTATACGTTGTTGATTTTTTCAAAGACTTCCAAAATTTCTAACACTGAACCAAAAATTTAGCCTTACCCTTTAAAAATCTTTACCTTGTATACAAAGAAACACGAAAGTGTTGTTGCGAACTTTTATCGAACGGATAGGTAAGGAATTCATTAAGGTTATCACTGAAATTTAACAATAGGGCCCTGTTTGTCTCTAAGAATCTGTATCTGTCATTTAACTTCGTAACACTGACGTAAAGAGTTCTTGAAATAATTTTCAAGAAAAGTAGCAGATTTAAATTTTCAATATACTGAAAATCAAATAGTAGCAGGAAGACAAACTGGCTTTTTTAATAGACCATTTCCGAGATCCAAAAACTCTCACTTTCAAAACCTGGCTAACTGCAAAACCTTTGTTGCGAAAACGAGTTTTATTTGCATGGGAATAAAAAAATCATTATATATCAACAGCTTCGCACTAAGCCTCGCTTTGGAACAGGGGCTTGGGCCAACTCGGAAATGGGTAACCTGCGAACCAGCTCTGCCGGGGCACCCCAGGAGAGCCTTGCTGGCAGGCTAGGAAATGGCGTATTTGTAGGCATGGTCATCGTACAGTATTCCGTCAACAGTAAAGCCTAGAACAACATTACGAGTCTAGAGTTTTCTGTCAAATACCTGTACAGCCTGTTCTTTTTATTGCCGCTGACCTACCTGGCCAGGAAATCGCAGGCACGTAGTTACCCCACTCATTGTTGCGGACACCAGATGATTCAAGTCCCCGTATGTAGGGTTGGACAGCTTGAGTGTCCGGAAGCAGATGTCATATAATGCTTCGTTATCGATGCAGTAGGTTTCATCGGTGTTCTCAACGAGTTGGTGAACTGACAAAGTGGCATTATATGGCTCAACCACTGTGTCAGAGACCTGTGATGGGAAAATAATCTCCATAAAACGTTCTCAAAGGAACGTCCCTGAAACTATTTAAGTATGGAATCGCGCGCACATGTCTGCACATGTCATATGCCTACAGGAAACGTATAATGATCGCAACTAATGAAGAACGTCACTATCGTCACCAGTAGACCTGTTTAGGACTCAACAGTCTTATTTAAGACTATACTCCCACGGACGATCTTGTTCCATATTTTAGGCTGATTTAGCAACAGGACGGGAACGTCATTTGACGTCGGGAAAGCGCGCGTAAAGGACGTAATGCGACTTCCGGTGCCCAATTTGTCGCTCTGCCATTGGTCAAGCCAGTTGTTTGATTTGTACGCGTCGTCGTCAACTGACGTTCTCGTTCTGTTGCTAAATCAGCCTATTGTTCGAGGGGAGGGGAGGGGGCGGCTGTACATAGGCTACTACCTACTAGTGATCACATATACATTGCTATACAGACTTCTCCTCGAGTTTACTTCCTTACTTCTTGGCTGCCCGATACATTTGAATCGATGAAGAAGTCGCGATATTAAAATGACCTGCTCTGTGCCTAACTTAGGACTTCACGACCAGGACAGCCGCAGAATTGTTGCCAGGATAAAATTCAAATAAAATTCGACGAACCAATGAGGACTAGAAACGGAAAGAAGTAGCTGTCACTAATGGCGGTAAACGCCGAAATTCTACATGACGTAACTCATTAACATACCTTTGGCGAGGGTACCACGCTAAACGAATTCATGATCCTATCAGGGTACTCCTCGCGTATCTTGGAAATGAGCAGTGTGCCCATACCCGAACCAGTCCCTCCTCCGAGAGAGTGCGTCAGCTGAAAACCCTGAACGCAGTCACAGTTTTCAGTCTCTTTGCGCACCACGTCCAATACTGAGTCCACTAGCTCAGCCCCCTCCGTATAATGGCCCTTGGCCCAGTTGTTTCCCGCACCACTTTGGCCTGTAGGAAAAAAAAATACTTAGTAAACTAAGGTATAGAGTGGTTTTCGTTTGAGTGTCGTAAAACCAAAACCAAAGTAATTACTCTGGCCAATCACATAGGACACAGACAATACATTGAACCAATCAAAACTCGAAGTAATTACATGTGGCTGACGCAAAGCGCGGGAAAATGCATGCGAGCGCGTCACAATTGGCTTTGGTTTTACTTCTGATTGGATGAAAAGGTGGCGCGAATCTTTTAAGCCAATCGCATCGTGTAGAAAGTGCAAAACCAATTACTTTTCGACACTCAAATGAAAACCGCTCTAATAGTATAAAATGAGTCGATGTACGATGGAACACATAAAACACGGTTCGGGATTTAATTAGCACATAGTTATGGTACCACCTAGTTGCGCCACAGACGAAACTAATCTCTTTTTAAGTCCGTCTGCGAAACAGCGCCGAAATCTTTGTTTTGGCCCCCACCAGTGTGCGGGCCATGATTGGCCTGTTAAAAAAGTCATTGTCAATTTGCCAATCAGGTTGAAGGGAAATTCGAAACGCGTTTCCTGTCTTGAATTCGTTGAGTCCGTTGGGGGCCCTGAACATGGATTTCGGCGCAGTTTCGCAGACGTTACTGACCGGTGTTAGATTACATTTGCCAAGCCGGCTAGGTAACACCAAAATAGAGAGAGATTTGACAACTTTATTGCGGGTTTCAAGCTAGCTAGCTAGCTAGGGAGTGGGGGTGGGTAAGGAAGGGGGTGAACGAAAATGTCCTCCCCACTCCCCCCAGATTCCAGAGATTTTTTCGCCAACAGACCAACTGCTAAACGCAGAAGTTTTACCATAATTTATAAAAAAAGTTAGTAAGACCTAGAGCTATTCTTATGGGTTTCTTATAATTCCTGATCAGGGATAAGTTTCTTTTGAGAGAGAGAGAAAGAAAAAGAAAAGCCAGAATAATGATAAAAAATATCCTACAACACAAAAAATTGATATTCAAACATTATTCTTTCCGGTTGAATTTGCCACCAATCACGTGCACCCTTCTTGATGTGGCAAAATTGTCAGTCAATTTTAAATAAAAATGATGAAATATCCAAGTAGTACAAAACAAAACTCGCCTTACCAAATACGAAATTGTCGGGTCGAAAAAGCTGTCCATATGCCCCAGACCGCACAGAATCCATGGTACCCGGTTCCAAATCGACAAGGACGGCTCTTGGGACATATTTTCCGCCTGGGAAGTCAATAAGTTTAGATATCAGACCGACTTAGTACACCTGCCCACGTAAAGGACAGAGCATTAATTTGTAAGCAGACGAAATAATTATTTATCATTATACGTCAACCAATAGTATTTGCGATGGAAATTGGTCTATAGACTAAACTGATCTCTAAGTGAAGTCTTTGACAAACAATGTTTATTATATGTAAAGTTTTTTGATTTTATGCCGACGGAAAAGGAAACATAATTTACCGTTCAAGTTTTCGATTTTCATTGTTTCCATTTTGATTTACATGTAAGCAAATGCATGGGGAATTTGTTTTTCAGATAAATAAGCCTCGGGCAAAAAAAATCTTTTCTTAAGTCTATATCGGAAAAAAAATGTTTAATGGAAATTTTAAAAGTATCCGTATTAATCAAAATTGTTGGTAGTTTTTGCGTTTATAATTATAGCTTTGAATCTTTTGAACTTGATTTGTTCTAGAGAACTTAAGCCTTCAGATGTAAACGCTGTTTTAAGTCATGAATAAAATGGCTTCATAGTAATTTACCTATTGTGAAAAACTTAAAAGCATCATTTTACCGAAGAGTTTTGATGGGCTAGTTTCCGTAAACATTTTAAAGTAATGTTTGCCTTCGTTTTTAGTTGATGCATTAGTTAACGTGCGTCTTACAGCGAATCTGAATATTTACCCTCTTCGTCCCGGCAGGACTGAAATAAACGCGCCCAATAACACTGCGTCGACTGAGCGCTCTCTGGGATACCGCAGTTAAGTACTGTTCCTACTCAAATCATGGATCGCGGAGATCGTAGTCCAGATTCATTTACGGAATAATTTTCCGCAGAATCATAAACAGCCGTTTTATAGGACAATTATTTGCTGATTTGCTGACGATATATTTATATTTAAAGTTTCACTTCAAGAAGTGGCTAAAATCAAACACTAAGGAAACACCAAATTTTCGTAGTTTTGTCAAATTCTGAAAAAAAAAATTCTGTGATAAGTGATAACAACGTACAGCCAGAGCGGTTTAATATGAATGATAATTTGTCCAAGGTCTCAAAAGCCGCAGAATTCTGGCATCATATTTTTGACTTCAGGAGGCCAAAAAGGTGTGAATAATATCGTACACAAACGGGGTCTGTGTAATCTTTTAAATAACGGAACAGGAGCAATTCCATTATTATTTTGTATGAAGAGTTCTGCTATTAAGTTCTTGGAGGCCATTGGTCATAGTTCATACCTATCGCCTCGTTGTAATAAACGTCGATTTTATCAAGTTGTGTTTGTGCATCTCCAGTATATGATCCTGTGGGGTCCACACCATGTTCATCTGAAATGACCTCCCAAAACTGAAAAATATGACAATTAATTTATTGCCTTACTAGCAAGGGTTATAAAATGATACGTGTACTATACAAACTACTGCACGGTCTAAGAAGGCCTGTCTATTTACCAGTAGTTCCTAAGTCTAAATAGCACTAATAGGGACCTTAGGAAGCTTAAGAAGTTACGACGGCGAAGTCAACGAGAACGGCAAAAAAGGCAATAGGTTTAGATCGGCAAAACCTGAAAACAACAACTCTGCAAATGCATCACGCTTTTTTGAACACTGCACGACTACGACGTGAAAATGGCTAATTTCACGTTTTGTTGGAGGAGGTGATGAACACAAGGCAACGACTCTCTTTTTCTTTTCCTGAACTTCGGTACAGTCTTTTAGAATTAAACTCCAGAAAAAATTGTCAACATTTGACGAATTGAACGAGAAAGGAGCACGAATTCATTTTTTGTGTGACGTTTTCTTTTCATCGTCGTCGCCGACGTTTTGGCTTGCACTCCTTCTAAACCGGCAACGAAAACGCTAAAAAAGCAATAGAAAAGTAAGCCGGAGTTGGAATAACCGCGATATCAATTTTTCAAGCGACGTCGCCGGGGGTTTTCATCGCCGCCGCNTCATACCTATCGCCTCGTTGTAATAAACGTCGATTTTATCAAGTTGTGTTTGTGCATCTCCAGTATATGATCCTGTGGGGTCCACACCATGTTCATCTGAAATGACCTCCCAAAACTGAAAAATATGACAAGTAATTTATCGCCTAGGATAAGACATACTAGCAAGGGTTGCAGGCTATATAAAATGATACGTGTACTATACAAACTAGTGCACGGTCTAAGAAGGCCTGTCTATTTACTAGTAGTTCCGTCATCTAAATAGCGCTAATAGAGACCTTAGAGAGCTTAAGCAATTACGACGGCGAAGTCAACGAGAACGGCAAAAAAGGCAATAGGTTGAGGCTGGCAAAACCTGAAAATAACAACTCTGCAAATGCATCACGCTTTTTTGAACACTGCACGACTACGACGTGAAAATGGCTAATTTCACGTTTTGTTGGAGGAGGCGAACACAAGACAACGAACTAAACTTCGGCACAGTCTTTTAGAATTCAACTCCAGAAAAAAATTGGCAACATTTGACGAATTGAACGAGAAAGCAGCACGAATTCATTTTTTGAGTGACGTTTTCGTCGTCGTCGCCGGCGTTTTGGCTTGAGCTCCTTGCGACGGCAACGAAAACGCCAACAAGGCAATAGAAAAGTAAGCCGGAGTTGGAATAACCGCGATATCACTTTTTCAAGCGACGACGCCGGGGGTTTTCTTCGCTGTCGTCGTCCTCGTATCTTTAAGGTGACGTTACACTAGACGATTCGCGACGACGATTTTTAGCGCAACACAGCGTTGCAATATTGTTGCGACATTGTTTCGAATGGTTACATCATTGTCCCAGCATTGCACGCTGTGTTGCGCTAAAATTGTTGTTGCGAATCGTCCCTTGTGATGTCACCTTTAAGGTCCCTAATATTTTATGAGGAGAGTGAATGGTGGAAGTTTGTTACGCTTTCTAACGCAAAAAAGTAAATATACATATCTGTATTTATTGGGGTGTGGCTCACTGAAGAAAAAATGGAAATGAAACTTTCTATCAAAGCAAAGGATTTCAAAATACGGATCAGAAAAAAATGTGACAGAACAAAGCAAATCATAGTCTTCTTTTGCTCGTTCTTAGTTCGGTGTGAAAAACTTAAATTTGACGGCTAAATTTTTGAAAATGACAGTCTCTCGTAAAATACAAACCATCAAAATGCAAAACAGATTAAAATGGAAGTTGTAAAATATATGCATGTGTGAAGCCCATCTGTGAAATACGTACCTTTTCAAAAGAAAAAAGATCTAAACAAGTTAACAATAGATAATTATATAACTTTTTGCAAAAGTTTTCCTTATATCCATTCCTGAAACTGGAAAGTTTCTTGAAGCACAAAAAACGGCTCTCCGAGTAGGTGAATTGACCACATATTGAAGGTAATCACATGTAAAAATTTAAATTCACCCAAAATAAGAGTAGAAATGTCTTGTTACCTTCGCTCCGATCTGATTTCCGCATTGCCCGGCTTGTAGGTGAACTATTTCTCGCATTGTGACTAGCTAGTCTGACAACAGTTAACTATCGCAAGTTATCGGCACGCTCTGGCTGCGTTATTTCACTACAATGTTTGTTTCGTAATGCAGGCGTTGCCTCAAATTAGAATATCGCTTTTTTATGAACAGGTGCACATTGTGATGAAATCAAAGAGTACGTTTTAATGATCACGAGAATGATAACCGCGGGCTTATCACGCATTGAAATGGGAAAAAAACTATACATAAACAAATATCTTACGCGCATATCAAGCGTGGAATATGAACATTAAATTATCTCAAAGCTAGTGGTCTGCATGTTCTTATCCTTTTTTCTGATCTAATCTATGTCAAGGTACTGTTAAGAGGTCTAAATCGGCATAGAGTCAGTCCATTCTCAAGTATAAAGTTAGTCAATATGTACGTATTACAGTTCATTTTCATCCTCGCTTCAGTTGTCATTTCCTTTTATTTTCTCCTGTTTTAACCCTTTTTATCCTTTACTGAGCTATGGCGAGATATCGAGATGATCTGTCATTTTAACTTNTGAAATCAAAGAGTACGTTTTAATGATCACGAGAATGATAACCGCGGGCTTATCACGCATTGAAATGGGAAAAAAACTATACATAAACAAATATCTTACGCGCATATCAAGCGTGGAATATGAACATTAAATTATCTCAAAGCTAGTGGTCTGCATGTTCTTATCCTTTTTTCTGATCTAATCTATGTCAAGGTACTGTTAAGAGGTCTAAATCGGCATAGAGTCAGTCCATTCTCAAGTATAAAGTTAGTCAATATGTACGTATTACAGTTCATTTTCATCCTCGCTTCAGTTGTCATTTCCTTTTATTTTCTCCTGTTTTAACCCTTTTTATCCTTTACTGAGCTATGGCGAGATATCGAGATGATCTGTCATTTTAACTTATGAGTCTGTGGATGAACCGCTTTGGTGTTACCATTCAAATGAAAGCTATGCAAGTAGTACTTTCCTGTGGTACTGTTTAGTATGCTGTACAAAGTGGTTCTAACTTTTGAGTCTGTGGATGAAATCCTATGGCGTGACCATTCAAATGAAAGCTACTGAGCAGTACTTTCCTGTGGTACTGTTTATTAAGCTGTACATGAAAGGTGATTCTAACTTTGGAGTCTGTGGATGAAACCCCATGGTGTTACCATTCAAATGAAAGCTCTTTGGCTAAACTGTTGCATACTGGTAATTATACCTTAGGATTTTAAAAAAAGGAAATTTGGAATTTTTAGCAAATACCCACCTTCACCAGTGTAGGAAGTAAAGAGGTAAATACGCCTAGATGAATTCAGTAAAAAATCCGCATTTATAAGGGCCTCCAGGCTGAATTTGGCAAATAAACACCACATATATGACCCACTCTCTATTTTACTAATGAACAAATCCAGCTTGCTGCCAAAACTTAGGGGTTCTTAACTGCGGGTGTTTACTGTATTGCTATTAGAAATGACTGGGAAATTGTCATTGCCTTCTTTGCGTTGCAATCCAGCAACCCAACCCACAAGATTTACGTTCAGTTTAAGCTTCTAGCAAATTGTTTATACTCAAAATTACGAACGTTCACTACCTGTGTCTACAGTATAGTCTCACTACACAAAATAAATTTTTCTCTTTGAGTGAAGGGAAGTCAATATTCAAAAATGTTTCCCTTTGATTTATTTTCATTGTGGTTAAATGTTTCTATAATAACATTGAAATGTCACAAGAGAATAAAGTACAAACATCTCAACGATTCACATCGCAGGAGGACTGTTGAAGAGTTACATTTTCTTCCTTACAAATTGGTATGATTCGGGTGCAGAAGGAGATAACGCATCGGATAAATTGTCCAGTAAAGTAACAGACACTGTTTCGATGCGGACCCTGGTTGTAACTGGTTCACAGCTGAGGTGGAATTAAGGGATGAGGCAGTATCCTCGGCCACCCCGCTGTTTTTTGTCTCGTCACGCAGGCGTTGCGTGACGACTGCTGCGTAGGAGACTAGGGATGAGGAACAGTCCCACTGACTCGCCCCCAGCGCTCTCATGTTTTGGGAGTCAGAAAACTGCTAATCGGGTAGCCTGCGTAGCAAGCGTTCCCGCGCGAGTTCCATCTTCCATTTCTTCTGCTCTCGCTTCAACTTTCTCACAATAGTGAACTTACGCAACAGGACGGGAGAGGAAAGAAGACGGCAAACCTTGTGTGACAAGCGTGACAATAATTTTGTTTGAAAAAACTTTTCGCCAAACTACTCCTTACTTTGAACAGATCTTTTTGTAAAAGACCAGAAAACATTAATGTTAAGGGAAGAACACGACAAACCTCCCAAGTAACCTTTGTCACACACAAGCGTTTTGCTGTCCTCTTCTTCCTCCCGTCATGTTGCGTAAACTCACTAATAACTCGATTGGAAACGCTTGCTACGCAGACTACTAAATCGGGTACTTATTCGCCCTTTAGACGACATCAATGCGCTTTCGCAAATCAAAAGCTCTGTATCCACGCTTGCTCTGTGTCCACAAAGCTGGCGATACGTCCTTGCAGACTATTCCCGGATGCGTTGACTTTTCAATAAAATATTAAAAATATTATAATAATTTATTTACATGTATGGTCTGTTGAGATGAAAATTTCTCCTATCTATCTGGCCGAATATGTGTATGAGGAGAACCAACATTTTTTGACTAAGCGTAGTAAAAAAAGAACTTCATTTGAAGACGATTTCAGATGAAACTACGATAATTCTGTTCTTCTTGGTTCCAATTCTTCTACTTTACTTTCACTACGCCTTGCTACACTTAGTCTTATATACAAACTACTTGGACTAATTGATTTACTTATTGTACAATACGTATTTAAGAGTTTCTTCCGCCGTCTCCTTAACTTCCTTTTTTCTAAGGTCCTTTGTCATCCACCAATCAAAATCATGGGACGGTTTTTCTGTTTGGAAATATTGAACATTCCTACATGAGAAAATATACACAATTAATTGTAATTTCCAACCAATGACCATGCTGTGCGCGAAGCTACAAATAATAAACTTCCCTCCAAGAAAAAAGGATTAAAATCCCAGTATAGCCTAACTGAGGTAGTTTTTCAAAAGGTTGCCACAGTGGATGAAATAACAAATGCTGCCGACTTAACAAAATCGAAATAGAAGCAAAATGCCATGGGCGCTAATGTGGGTCCCAGGCCATGTAGACCAATGGATACATAACACCTGCTAAATAACCTACAGTAGATACTGCATGGAAGGAGATGCCGTTGTTATGTATCGCTCTTTGGTCTAGGACACTCAAAAGTATGATGTCGCCGGATATAACGACCTCTTTGGATGTGTCGAGGAATTTTAAATAAGACTTTATTACGCAGTGACAAACTAAGCCAGCTTATTTTTCATCTTTTTCATATGTATAAGTTGATATATCTCTATGGAACTTTAAAAAACACTTTATGTTTTGGGTACCGTGCACTATAATTTTCTTTCTTTCCCCTCCGAGTTTTTCAATGCAGGCGAACTTCCCTTTCAATATTCACGGCATTACTATAAATTTTTTC